AGGTTATAGTTTATACTAAAATTTTGCAAGAAATCTTTTTTGTTAGAACCCCGAAGTGGGTTTTATAATCAAAATTTAGGGTGTTCATAATATCAAACCTTGACAAGTCAATATTCAAAAAGAAAGTTGAAAACTTCTAGTTATATAATCAGTCGTTATTTTTCGGTAATCAACATTTTTTGAAAAGGTAAATGAGACCCGAAATAATGAAGAATACACATTTAAATTTTATTACAATGTATTAATTTCTTCTCTTTTTTTATTAAAATGCTTGTATAAAAGCTCCACAACGATGTCACATCTTTCATCAGCCGTAGAGAAGCCAAGAGCCAAAGATCTTTCTTGTGTGTTTAGCTTAATAGCTAATAAGTATAGTAAACTCGGCTTAAGACTCTGTGAAATGAAAGAATCACAAACCTGAAGACATGCTAATACACCAACCACCACTAATCGGCTTAAATTATATGTGGATTATATGCCTGAACTTAAACTTTATTTGTATCCACACTCAATTTGTGAAAAACATTATAACCAAGTAATTTCTACTAATCATTTTTATAATCACCTTTTAGATAATCCTGCTTTTAAAAATAAGAGAGCCCGATCTAATACAAGCTTTGATGATTCTAATGTTCGTGAAGAAATTGACGAATTGTATACAGAAGCAATGCGTCTGGAAAGTCATGTGCGTACAATTGCAGCATTGAAGCAACAATTGCAAGAACAAGAAAATAGAGAGCTTATTATAATCAAGGAATTTCAACAAAACATCGAAGACCAAGAACGAATGATATTGGAATTGAGGAGGCAGTTAGAAGAGCGTGATGAAGTTATAGCTCATTTAAAGAGTTTATTTAGTGGTAAACTTGATAAGAATAAGAAACTGGTCGAGCAATAGGACTCTTGATACTCTGATCAAGATAAGCGCATACAAGCAGTCACCGATATTGCACTAATTGAACAAAATTTTTTATATAGGGATGTCGAAGCTTTGATTAGGGATAACAATAGATTTTCTTTGGAAAATCTATTAAACTATACCCCTCATTTATGGCTAAGTAGACGCAATCAAGTTCTTGTAAAATTTATTGAAATATTAACCTATAATAATCTCAATACAGGGTTTAAAAGTGCCAAAAAGGGTTATGGTCATCGATTCTGTGTATAGATCTAGACACAGAAAATACGTATCAGAAATGAGCCTTGTAAAATTAGCTATAAAATATTCTATTGCAAGATCAAAAACTATTATCAATATTGATAATCACATTACAAGCTTGGGGAGTTATTTCCATTTTCAAACTTGGTTAGACGAATTATCTAATAAAGAAGAAGCACTACCAGAAGGCCTCCTATTTTTAGCATTCAACAATAAACAAAGAGGACAAAGAAATTATCTTGACCAAGGACTCAACACAGTGATATTTCATACTGTTACTAGTTTCGTTGCCTTCAACATGAATTCGCAAAATTATATTCAACATACTAATAATGCACCTTGAATATTTAATTCTCTTGATAGGTTTCAATACGAAAGCCGTTTCGATATTACATTTGAAATACAAGAAGTTATAGATAAAGAATTGCATATTTATCTTTCTAAAGTTCTTGGTTTATTGTGTGAAGAAAAATTAACCACAACCAATAAGATTGATTCTCTTGCATCTAATGTAGACCTAAATATTCGTTGTAGCAAACAATGTCCTAACTGTAAAAAAAAAGATATCGACAATAAAAGACAAGTTTGCCCGGCATGCAAGTTTCGTCTACCTACATTGTCAGAAATGTCAAAGCAATATGTGGAAGTAGAAGCAGAGGAGGATATAGCTGAACAGTCATTTATCTTTAAACCATATAATACCGAAAAAGAGACTCGACCATCCAATACACCAAGAATTAGCGTGACTCAAAAAATGTGTGCTGATGAAGGGGTTAACATTTCAGAAATTTTTATACCTGATCCTCTTGATGTTAATTCTAACACAACTGAAAATATCAAAAAAATTTTACTAATATCGAAAAAATTTCAGAGATTAAAGATGAAATACGTAAATGGGTAGTTGTAACATACGACAGTATTCCATATCATCGGGCAGCAAAAATTAAAAAAAAATACCTATGGCTAATTCTTATTCCTGGGCAATTGTATGAAGAAATGAACATGCTTCGAGCCTTTGTGGAATTAAATTGGTAAGCTTACCTTGTGCTTAAATATTTTATTTTCTA